GTGTGTGTGTGTGTGTGTGTGTGTGTGTGTGGTGTGTGTGTGTGTGTGTGTGTGTGTGTGTGTGTGTGCGTGTGAAAGGGAGATAGAGTGTGGTAATGAGAGATAGAGATATTATAATAGAGAGAGAGAGTGTGCGTGTGCACGCGTATGCGCGCACGTGTGTGTGTATGTGTGTGTGTGTGTGTGTTGTGTGTGTGTGTGTGTGTATGTGTGTGTGTGTGTGTGCCATCATTCGCCATACAGTCACACAGGCATTGGTCAAGGATGGACGCAGGGGGAGGGTATTTCCACTGTTAGCGGAGAGAATCGCCGAAAGAAAACGTATTAGGTTTTCCAAGAATGTGTGTACTGTGTGTATTGATACTGTTTTTAACACTTACCAGCTGTATACCTTTTTGCCAGTTGCTTCTGCACTGCCTCCGCTGCCGCCACCACTACTGGCACTGCCAGCCGATGGCTCAGTAGCTGCTGGTGTGTGCGATCTAGTCGCCGCACTATCCGCTGGTGCAGAACTTCTTCCAAATATTCTGCTTATAGCGTTACCCATGGTGAGTAGATATCTTCAAAATGAAGTCTGTAGTGTAGAAGTTCTCAGTAAAATCAAATTATCATTCAAAGCCAACCGCTCTGCAGTACAAGTGGCCGCTAGCCACAAAGCCAGTCCTTGACAAGGCGTCCTGATCCGCTACTCGTCTGGAACACGCTGATGACCTTACAGTTACACACCCATCAGAGCTTCTTTCCCGACGAGCTGTCCATCCAAACAAACCTCGACGACAGCATCACCATGATCACTGCATCAATCATTGATTCAATGCCATCATGGACATCACCACAGCCATGGACAGGTGCAGATTGCACAGTAGATCAACCCGCTCAATGAAATCCAGTCGGGCTCAAGCACGCACCGGGCGTTGCGAGGCCGGCCCCAGACCTGCGAACACCATGTCCATGTCCCATGAACAGTGGGCGCGAAACAGTGCGAGGCGCTGTGTTAGTGTGTACTTTTAGTTGTACAATGTACTACATGTATTATGTAGTGTGAATGACCTGGGGATTGCATGATTACTGTGCAAGTACTTAGTTTTCCCGCGCTAGCCCAATTTTAGGCTAGCGCGGGAATGCTTTTTTCCCGAAGCAGCTACATTCTTCTACACCCGGATATGTGACATTTTACATGTCGACTGCACGCACGTCAAATGGGACATCATCACCTGGGCCATGGGTCGCGTGATTATCTTCATTCTCTCATCATCTTCAGTTTTATAGAGTGGAATGAGGGGCATAATTATACTTATAGTGATATACGACTCCCTGGTGGAATCAATGAACATTTACATGTTTCAGTGTCACCATCCACCGTCTGACCGTCTGACAGTCTGACTGGGATTGTGAGGTAGGAAGTATTAGTTGAAGAAGCAAACTAACTTACTTCGCTAAAGCCTGTCGCATTGCAGCCACAGAAACAGGCAGCTTACCTCTGCAGCCAGAGTGTTTCGTTATCTCAGGCTTCTGCAGTTCTGGATTATTTGTTGCGAGAGCTTTGTGGCCGAGGAGAGGAGACAATGTAGAGCGAGTGATGGCGAAGGTAGCGCGCAGAACGTATCAGTTTTCGTTGCTAGAATTATCAAATTGGAGTAACCGGGGTGGCTGAAAGAATGGTGGGTGGTATACCCACGACCGGCAAGCTGACCTGGCCAAAGGCGAAGACTCTGCCGGTGTGTTACGCATACGGTGTGTTTCTTGCCGTTCGCTGGAGGGATTATTTTCCTCTCGTTAGCAGCGTGCCTACACTACAGTTGGGTCAGGCTAGTCTGCAGCAGGCGAGCGAGCGTGCAGCCTCTATCAACACCAAAAGCGTACACCATGGCTAGTATGGCATCAAGCAAGCGACGTGTTTGGTAGTCTTGTGCGTGGAACGGTAGCACCCACACGGTCAGTTACGGTATGATTGTGCACGAAATGCGGTAAGCACCGAAAAAAGAATTCTGATTCAAAGACGTCGCAGTCAGAGCTGACAAACCCACCGAGGAAGAGAGCGAGAATACGCCGCTGACGGGTCGCTGGTCGAGCTGTGGCTGTGTGAGAGTGTAATCGTAGTAGTGTGTAACAGACTCAGTGTGTCCGTAGCATGCAATATCCACGGAGAACACCACTACTGCCTGCGAGTGATGGCAGTAACTCGACATCTCCACAGCGCCTCAGCAACGCTAGTTTGTTACCAGGAGCAATAAGGGACGATGAAGAACAGCTCCATCCGTAAGTCACCCTATTATCTACACAACATATAAACGAATTGCGGACACAATCACTCATATAAACATGTCATGTTATTACGTGTTCTGACAGCTGTCGTATCTACATAACCATTGTATGTACTTGTGGAGCACTGGATGTGGGTAATCAAGACAGGACTCCAGAAATCCAAAACCAGTGTCTGTGTGGCCAGTAGTTTTGTATTGAATAATAATTTTATTATGGTTAAGCGCCTTGATCCTTGTAGGGTGGTGGTGTTCCTACGGATGCGGAAAACTCGGTTTCTAGCCGAGTTTCACGCAAAACGTGAAAAAGCCCATGGATCCTTCCATGAGTGACATGCGAACTGACTGTACCTATCATTATCATGATGAATTTATGATTGATTTGATCAGTGTACGATGCAAGGTCTACGCTTTGTGTCAGGAACATAATGTCGTATTTCTCTGGATCAGGGCTCCAGTGAAGTATGCCACAACTCACCTCCCCCCCTCTTGCAGCCAAAATATCACATTCTACTTCGTTTATTTCATAGGAAATACGTTCACGGCATGTAAACGCCGCATGAGGAGTTGATCCTTTTTCTCGTGTAAAGAATGCGACCTTGACCTTGGAGAATGCAGTGCATTGCTAGCACATGTGGCTACTGTTTAGGATTGAGACGTGGAGTTCTTGTTGCGCCGTATCACTGACTAAGCAAAACGTAATATACTAAGGTATTAATAGCCGTAATGGGTGTTATGTGGCATGATAAGACGATGAGCAGAAGCGAAGCGGGGGTTCTGAGAGCAGCAGCAGGTTTCACTCTGTTCTCACAGGGGCATTGGACGTGCTACGGCTACTACAGTATTGACCGTACCGCTCTTCGTCCCGGGAACCATCTGAATCAATGAGTAAATTGTACTTTGGATGGCTGATCATACCACCCACGGTACCTTCTGACACGTCTGTTCTACTTGTAGAAAATATCATTTGTTGAAGTGTCCGGAACTGTGATGATTAGAACCAATGTGTGTGTTTGTTTGTGTGTGTGTGTGTGTGTGTGTGTGTGTGCGCGCGTGTGTGTCTGTGTGTATGTATGTGTGTGTGTGTGTGTGTGTGTGTGTGTGTACATGTATATGGTGTGCATGCATGTGTGTATGTCTGTGTGTACATGTTTGTTCACCTTGATCCGGCTGCACTGACGCACACAGTACCAGAGTACATCCCCTGCTGAGTGAGGTCAGTCGTGGTGTTCAAGACACGACCTTTACATATGAACCGGCAACAGGACCAGTACAACAACACCAACAACTGACAATGGCGGTAAGGTTGTGCGGTGGGATTTCAAGTCTACCATTGAGTTACGTAACAAAATGCTAAGGCTAACATAATATTAGAGATCTGCCTTGCTTTGCGCATCGGTATAGTGTGATACGGTCAACACTCATGTAGGACTCACTTCACACAGTAGGCAAGTCTGTGAACATAGTGGTTCAAAGGGATTCTCGCCAACGATTACGAGCCATTTCCAGTTACAGTAAAACCTGGTGTAAGCGACCTCTGGGTTTAGCGAACACCTGCTCTTAACGACCGTTTTTCCATGCACCGACAGTTCTACACAGACACTGTGGGACCTAGTTCTAAAGACCACCTGGCTTTAACGACCGCTTTTGCTTGCGCCGTGGCGCGGTCGCTTAAACCAGATTTTACTGTATATTGCTCCCTGGAAGCGCTTATCTTCAATGAGTGTTGCCTCTTTCCTGCAAGGCTCCCCCTTAATGACCAGCAGCGAAGTGACTGTACTCGTACGCAGCTGATCAGTGTGCTACTGCATACATGGATTGCGTTTTGACCAGCCCAGTGCCCTGCTGTTGTCCAGCATTGCCTTGTCACACTGTCCAAACATGTTCATCTCGAACAGTGCCATTGGTCAATCGAGCTTGGTGAAGAACTATTTGTAAAGATAAATCTACTCCAACTAAAAAAAGTGTATAGGTGGCATGAACGTGTGGAAGCACGATATGCACTGCAGTGTAGTATTGTTGCAGTATTTTGTGGAAGGCAACTCAAGTCGGAAACCCATCAACTCCTAAGCCCTGTTTTCTCAGCGGCAGATCATCGATGAGCCTCAAGCTTCCTATGCCTGTGGTCAAGAGACTGCAGCAGTCAGCACTGGTTACGCATTAATGGCTTTAAAAACGCACAAAATTGAGAAACCGTAGCTGTTGTGGTATGTGTACTGTACTCGTGTGTTTAGTGCCCCTAGGGCACTATCTATTTTCAATATCCATCACAGATGGGGCACTATTCATGAGAGGGCTTTGTTTTTTCAATGTTGGTACATAAGCGCCATCCAGCATTAAAGGGGAAGTATACCCTAAAATCAAATTTTCACCAGTTGTAGTCTTCGGGGTGCTGAGTCGAATGGTCTTGGTCCGAGGAAGCTGAGACGCTCCCTTCCTACTTGAATCCCAATCGAACCCGCGCACTTCCACCGAAACTGGGTGACTGCGCCCTACTAGATGGGGATTTGTATGCAAAATGTCACTAAAAGCGCCATTTCGTTCTTATAAAAGCACGGATGACCGCGATTGGCCCATATGTTGTAGTCTTTTGGACGCTGAGTCGACTGGTTTTGGTCCGAAAAGGCTGCGATGCAGCGTTCCTCCTTTATTCCCAATCGAACATGGTTGAAGAAGCGGTCACGTGCTCCTGCGTACACCAGTCACCTGGTCACCGTGCCTGCAGGGTACAACTTACTAGCCTGTTTGACCTTTTTTGGGTGCAGTCCTGTCACTCGAGTTGAACTCGAGTTGAACCTTGGTGTGAAAGTTGTCGCCTGCTGGCGCGGTGACCAGGTGATTTGGGCACCCAGGAGCACGTGACCGCTTGTTCAGCCATGTTCGATTGGGAATAAAGGAGGAACGCTGCATCGCAGCCTTTTCGGACCAAAACCAGTCGACTCAGCGTCCAAAAGACTACAACATATGGGCCAATCGCGGTCATCCGTGCTTTTATAAGAACGAAATGGCGCTTTTAGTGACATTTTGCATACAAATCCCCATCTAGTAGGGCGCAGTCACCCAGTTTCGGTGGAAGTGCGCGAGTTCGATTGGGATTCAAGTAGGAAGGGAGCGTCGCAGCTTCCTCGGACCAAGACCATTCGACTCAGCACCCCGAAGACTACAACTGGTGAAAATTTGATTTTAGGGTATACTTCCCCTTTAAGAAAAAAGAAGGCCAAGAAAAACAGAAACTAAAGTTTGCGGTAAACAATCCCGACTCCACAGAAACGGCAACAGGAACTGCCATTTTGATCCTGAAACCACCAGTTCAATGACATGGACAAGAACAGTAGCAAAAGAACACCACTTTCACATACGCTTGGTTACAAGCCCGGGGGGGGGGGGGGCACTATTCAAGAGAGGGCTCAATTTTTCACTGGCTTTAAGAGACTGGGGCACTATTTGAGATAGGGCACTATTCAAGAGAGGGCTCTAATCGCGAGTAAGGTAATGCTTGAAACGTAGGTTGAATTTCTACGGGAATTATTCAATCTTCACCGAGAGTTCTCCAGTGGCCCCGATGCTCTGTCACATCCTGCATGAGCTTCTGGACAGTCCATTGAATAGCTAGCACATTGCCTCCATTAAATTCATTAGCTTCAGCTACACAAACAAAGGACTCTTTCTCTTCCTCCATGGGCTGACATGTCGTAAAACTAAACACGCACATTGGAGGTTTGCTGGGTTGCCTAACTTGCAGGCGTGTCCCTTTCACGAACCCAGGCAATCTTTGTGCAACTAGTCTATTATCACTGGCATTGCTATATTGTTGTCTGAACAGAGCTCTAACTCAGCAGCCCCGGCGGCGGCGGGGGAGGGACAAGGTCTTGCAGACGGCAATGCACGTCCAACTTTGCTCAACAGACCACGCACAAGTCTGCGTCGCTCCAAGGTGGCAGGTGAGCAACTCCGATCCGAGATCATGGTGCAGGCCAGAAAGAGCGTTTCACACGATGTAACGGATGGAAAACCGGCGAAAGGTGAGTTGCTGATGATTGTGGAAGGATATCCCCTTGCAGCTAAGCAGCAGTAGTAGAGTTGAAAGGGCTGTTGAATGGTAGTGTTGAATGGTAGTGTTGAATGGTAGTGTTGAATGGTAGTGTTGAATGGTAGTGTTGAATGGTAGTGTTGAATGGTAGTGTTGAATGGTAGTGTTGAATGGTAGTGTTGAATGGTAGTGTTGAATGGTAGTGTTGAATGGTAGTGTTGAATGGTAGTGTTGAATGGTAGTGTTGAATGGTAGTGCACTACCGGTAACAGTGGAGTCCAGACCTGTCCATGAGCAATGTGCTACAGTGCTACAGTGCTACAGTGGTGCACGATGAAATCCGATCGTGTGAGTCAAGTACGTGCCGAGTGCGGCTGTGCAGCCCTAGGCCTACAAACCCTGGGATGTGAAATGGTGTAGGCCGGGTGAAAAGATGACTTATGTGATTGGAATTCATTCAGCAGCACTGCGCATGTAACAATGGAATCGTAGGTGTGTCCTTTGGCAATGAGCTACAGGACCTGGGAACAGTGGAGTCACAGGACTGTCGCATGTATCACTTTGCAGCACCATGGTCGGAATATTTTACCTTACGTCTATACTTATTGACCGAGTCAACCATTCAATACGGCCATATCAACTCGTTTTGATTTATTATGGTCACGAGTGAGAGCAACACGCACCACAAATAAAATGGAATCTTAAAAGTATTGGTTTGGATACAGCACTGTCAGGCGCGGAAGAACAGAGCGCTGAAGAACGGAGCGCTGAAGAACGGAGCGCTGAAGAACGGAGCGCTGAAGAACGGAGCGCTGAAGAACGGAGCGCGGAAGAACGGAGCGCTGAGGAACGGAGCGCTGAAGAACGGAGCGCTGAAGAACGGCCAGCCTAGAACTTCACCAAACCCAGCATACCAATGTACACTCTGTGACTCAACGGTGCATAGACTGTAATACATGAAAATAAGAACGGCCTAGGCTAGGAGGCTGACCCCCAGTTCTTCGACGACCGACAGTACTGTAGTGTTGCATCACACAGAGCTGCGGAGAGGGCATCGAACATGCACACACACCTGCTGATATGCACTATCATGAGGACTCTGAGCATGCACAAGCTCTGCTCATGTGCACAATCCATAGTCCTGATTGCTGCTAGAGTTTGTGAATCGTGAATGGAATGATGAAGGTGTATGTCCTGTGCGTGTCTAAT